AAAAAAAAAAAAGAGGGAGAAAAAGACGGGGGGGGGGGGGGGGGGGATACATTATAGAGACTTGTATAAAAACAGTGGAAGCCGTTGAATAAAAGAACTTATTGAATTCCATACTGCACCTTTATCTGCATGTGCACGTAAAATGAGTCCCAAGCTATCATTCGGTGTTCATTTGTTGAGTTTTAACTTGCCTGTGGTTACACATTTCCTTGCGTCTTGATGAAGAGGTTGCGTTTGCGAAATGCTGAAACACATTAGGTCATGTGTCCATATATGTCTCAGAATGGCAGTTTAAACTCCCAGGTTGTGCATCAGAGAATCAGAGTGAAAACAGAGCGGCTACAGCAGGAGGCCTTCAGTAGTTTGGATCTATTAAAATGGGACTGAATTTGTTAGAAGTTTGGGTGCCAGTTTTACTTCGAATTTCCATAGCTGCGGGTAAGTTTGCCTTTTGTTATTGTATCTTTAGTTAATAAGTCAAAAATAAGAAGAATGTGTGTGTGCTGCAAACATTTTTTTCCCCTGCATTTGATTACGGGTTTGCTTGTTTCAACACACTTGAGAGACTGTAAAAATAGAACCTTAATCAGAATCAGAAGAGCTTTATTAACAAGTATGTTTACACACACAAGGAATTTGACTTGACGACAGGAGCTTCCAGTGTAGAAGAAAGTACAAACATAGTGCAGACATACATGATAGTGCAGACATACATAGGAATTACACAGTAGGGATGTAATATAAAACTAATATAATAAAAAAAAGAAACATTAAATAATGTACTATATACAGAAAAATTTAATTGTTTAGATAAATGTACAGATATGTTATTAGTGTGCAGATATGTTATTTACAAAGTGTGCAGTTTAATATAAATATGTCAGAGGGTTAGAGTTAGTTCACCCAAAAATGAAAATTCTGTCATTATTACTCACCCTCATGTCGTTCTAAACCCGTAAGACCTCCGAATATTCACTGAACGTAAACAGCGTATGCTGTTCTGTGTCAGCTGCGTCACGCGGATACGGATACACAGAATAGCATTTGCTGTTTACGTTCAGTGGATACTCTCCAAAATGGCACCGGGGTGACGCGGAGGAGACAAATTGTTGAATAAAGTCGTTATTTTTGTTTTCTTTGCATACAAAAAGTATTCTCGTAGCTTTGTAAAATTATGGTTGAACCCCTGATGTCACATGGATTATTTTACCGATCTACTTGCTACGTTTCTGGACCTTGATCATGGTAATTACATTGCTGTCTATGGGAGGGTCAGAGAGCTCTCAGAATTCATCAAAAATATCTTAATTTGTGTTCCGAAGATGAACGGAGGTCTTACGGGTTTAGAACGACATGAGGGGGAGTAAATAATGACAGAATTTTCATTTTTGGGTGAACTAACCCTTTAAAGACATTTCTAAACAATTCTAAATTAAACTCAAATAAAGAGAGAATTCAGAGAGGCTGACCTTTGATATCTGCGTCATTTGTCTTTGTAGAAGATCAGGTCTAAGGTTGAGCTGGAGCTGCTGGGTGTGCCGGATGAGTTATCTCTGTTCATCAACACAACATGCCTGGATGGAGAGGTCATTGCAGGTGTCCGGTCCTGTGCCGGACTCAAAATCGGAGATATGGTCAGCATCTGATTCATACACTGGAAATTTTTTTTTTTTTTATTGTTTCCGATTAATTAAAATGAGCTAAAGCAACACAATTGCTCAACATTTTATCACAATTTTATTGTATTCAGTCCACTTAAATATGTAAAACTTTAAGTTGAATTGAATTTGTTTGTGTTGGGACTATCATTTTTGTTGCACTGAAATGGCGTGGGTGGATTTTAGTTCCCAGCATGCTTTGCATAGGACTGAAATGGGAGCACAAATGCTGACATTAAGTGTTATTTGTACACATTTTTGAGTAAAGGCAAATACCTTTAATGTTTAGTTATTGTTACGGGGCTGACGAGACATGAGACGTGCGGATCCAAATGCAAGGCTTTATTCATAGACATGGTTAGAGACAGGCAAGGGTCAGATAATGGCAACGGGTATATAGAGGGCAAGACACAAGAATATTCCTAGGGCTAGCGTGGGTCTACGATCGGCGAACAGAATTAACAGGGCGAGACTAGAGGGGTAAATCCAAGAACAATGCAAAGGTCTAGGCAGGGGCAAGCAGAATCTGAATAGGGCAAGACGAGAGGGAGAATCCGAGGAACACAGGCAAAGATCAGGATACGAGAAAACAGACGAGGCAGACTAAGCTAAGGCTGGGTAAACTAAACAGGCTCCGTAGAGTAGCTATCAAACGATAAGCGCTAAACAATACTCGGCAGCTTGACGGGGATAAGAGTGAGTGTTATATAGGGAAGGTGTGAGTGATGACAGCTGTGTGCAATCAACTGTGTGTGTAATCAGTGCAATGGATGATGGGAACTGTAGTCCGGGTGAAGTGCAACAGTGGTGTGGTGCAAGAGTCCATAGTAGTGGAAGGGTGACCTCTGGTGGCGAGCAGACAGAAGTTCATGGACCGGATTCGTGACAGTTATGTTGGATATTTAAGAGTTTGTGTTGTTGAAGATTTTGTGGTTAACGTTGTGCTCAGGAGTAGAGATTGTTTGTCTAATCAAATATAAAGGTGTCTAAATAAAGAAAAAATTATTTTATGCCTTAAAAATTTGAGTACAATCAAAAAGTATGTTCTTATTTACTTTAATAACACTTAGCTCAGTTAAATTTCTCAAATTATTACAAAGGAATGACAAGTAACACATTGAATTAAACATGACATTTTGAAGTAACGCGACAGAATTTTTAATTTTTTTGGTAAAACACTCCAATAATAATGTTTAATTTATAATAATATGTTTAATTTATATAGCACCTTTCCCAAGCTCAAGGACACTGTACAAAAGCAGTAACACAATAGACAGTCGATTCACAGAATCATAAACAGTCATTTCACAATCAATTAATCAATTCATCAAATTAAGTGGACAGTAGACATTTGCCCAGTCCGGGGATAGACATGATTGCAGTTGCATATCATGGTACAGTTATGTACTGGAAACAGAGATACATAACATAGTATAAAGGATAGTGTCAATAAGTAACAAACAAAGAATAGTAAATGCAACAAAAATACACAGAACGAAAATACTCAGAGAATTACAGCTGGTAGTATAGGATGAGGAGAGTGTTTAAAGAACATGTTATGACTGATAGTATTGGGTAAACAAGTAGGTTTTGAGTTGTGATTTAAATACAGAGGGTGAGGTTATTGTCCTTAGTGCCAGTGGTATAGAGTTCCATAGTTTAGGTGCAATTACGGAAATTTACCTGCCGCCCATTGAAGATAGACGAAATCTAGGTACAGTAAGAAGTTCACACCCTGCAGATCGAAGTGATCGAGGTGGAACGTAAGGAGACAGTAGATCAGAGAGATAAGGAGGAGCAAGACCATTGAGTGATTTAAAAGTAAGCAGAAGAATTTTGTAAGTAATACGAGATGGTACAGGGAGCCAATGAAGTTGAAATAAGATAGGGGTAATATGAGCAGATCGTTCAGTATGGATTAATATTCTTGCAGCAGAATTTTTAATATATTGTAAAAGAGAGATAGAGTGCAATGATAATCCGGCAAAAAGAGCATTACAGTTGTCTAGGCATGATGTAATAAAAGCATGCACTAATGATTCAGCATCTTTTGGAGAAACATAGGATCCAAGTTGGGCTAAACGGCGAAGCTGGAAAAATACAGCTTTGGATAGTTTACTAATGTAAACATCCAGAATCAGTGAATGATCAAGAGTAATGCCTACATTTCTTATAGTAGCAGGTTGAAAAATTGTTGTAGCATCAAGGTTGAAACTGTCACGGCAGAGAAGAGTCAGGATCCAAGTGCGAGTGCAAAGGTAAGGTTTATTTAGTAATCACAATAACGGAGACACAAGGTGATAATCCTCGGGTCCTGGTCAGAATCAGAGCTCCACTGAGAAATCCCCTCAACCACTGCGTTGACCAAACCAAGGAGAAGGCGGAAGATCCGTACCCTGACTGAGCGAGAACTGGAAACAGAGAACTGACAGGGAGACAGGAACATGAGAATAACGAACCGACAAACACATTGAACAGAGTGACCTATAAAGGACTCGCTAACGAGTTGCAGCTGGCGCGCTCTGATTGAGCACCAGCTGCAAACACTAACGAATGACGTACGCACATACAACCACATGACAAGACGCAGAAAGACCGTCCGGACCCATGAACCGTGACAGAAACTGAGAGCATTTACCATTTTTTTGTTAGTGAAGGGGGCCCAGTAATTAAAATTTCTGTTTTGTTCAAATTCAAAATGAGAAAATTAGAATTTAGCCAGGCCTTTAGCTCATTAATACAGGCAGATAGTGATATGGTCTGGTGAATAGAATCTGGTCTGCATGCAGTGTATATCTGAATATCATCAGCATAACAGTGATAATGAAAACCATGACGACGGATAATATGTCCAAAAGGCATGATGTAAGTAATGAATAGTAATGGCCCAAGAACAGAGCCCTGGGGAACACCCTGACTGAGTAAAGTAGTGGGATATTTATAATTATGCATAGTGATGCAGTATTGTCTATCAGTGAGATAGGAAGAGAACCAGGATAGTGCAGCACCTGAGACACCTATCTCTGAAAGGCGGGAGAGTAATATCTTGAGACAGACAGTATCAAATGCTGAGCTGAGGTCGAGCAACAGGAGAATGGAGAGATTACCTGGGTCACCAGAGAGTAACAAATCGTTGACAACCTTAACTAAAGCAGTTTCAGTGCTGTGATGAGAGCGAAAACCAGATTGAAATGCATCGAATTGATCGCTGAGAGCTAGAAAAGACTGTAGGTGTTTGGCAACAACTTCTTCCATAATTTTCGAAATAAATGGTAAATTGAAGATTGGACGATAGTAGGTAAAACCAGCTGGGTCCAGGTTTGGTTTTTTTATGAACAGGAGTAACAGCAGCAGTTTTCAGTGAAATTGGAACAGTGGCAGAGATAAAGGACATATTTACTAAGCGTGAGATAGGAGCAGAAATGACAGAAGTACAGTGCTTCAGAATGTGAGTGCAGGATCTAACTGGCATGAGGAAGAATTAGAGTTCTGCATTATTTCAGCAATTAAGGTTGGAGTTGTCAAGGTAAAATTATTTAACAGTTGAATAGATTGAGCTTGCTCACAAGTAGAAGTGGTTGGTTCAGTGCCAAGAGACCCACAAAGAGCATCCAGTTTTATCTGAAAGTGGCGCAAGAAAGAGCCACACAAATCATCACATTCATATTGACTGAGACAATGGCTAGGTGGCTGGACTAATTTATTAACCATGCTAAACAGTGTTTTTGGGCCTATTGTTAGCTTTATTGATGATGTCGGAAATATAGGAAGAGCGTGCTGCATTCAAGGCAGTTTTATAATCTTTGTTTTATTTACAGCTATTTACAGTGTAGAAAGTTTTCAACTATATTGTTTGTGTACCTACCAGTATACATTAAAATCCCCCTACGAGATTAAATGTTTAAATACTGTTTATTTTGTTAAACAAGGAATATAGTTGCATTTGGTAGGCCTGTCGCAATAATCAATATATCGACCTATTGCACAATATATGTACGTGACCTCAATCATTTTTGGTGACGCAATATATTGCCCATTATATTTACATAAAAATTAATGTCACCATGTTTTTTGCATTCCACTTGCACCTGTGTCTTTTGCAGCTTCTCGTACATAATGTGGAGTAGTCGGTGCTATTTCAAATGAAAAAAATGCTTCTACAAACAAAGTTTAATCTGCAGATATGGCCTTGTTTAGGAATATGTGTGTCACGAATCCGGTCCGTGGGCTTCAGGCCGATTGCCACTAGAGGTCATTCTCCCATTACATTGACTCTCACACCACACAGACTGTTACACATCACCCTGGACTGCATTTCCCATCAACCATTGCACTGATTACACGCACACAGCTGAATGCACTGATCACACACACACACAGCTGAATCCAATCAGACATGTTACATAAGCCATGGAATTCCTCTCTCTCACTGCCGTGTATTGTTCTGCATTTTCCACTCACCTAGTGTTAGCTGCATTACCGAGTCTAGTGTCTTGTTTTCTTTGTCTTGCCTTGTCTGTTTCCCCGTGTTCTGATCACTGCCTGTTTACCTGGATTATCTCTCGAGTCTTGCCCTATTGGATACTGTTTGCCCCTGCCTGGACCTTTGCCTTGTACCTGGATTATCCCTCTTGCCTTGCCATCATTATACCTGTTTGCCATTGTTTTACCTATGCCTGTTTTGACCACGTCTCAATGAATAAAGCCTTGCAGATGGATCTGCACGCTTCCTTTGTTCCGTCCGTAACACTGTGCCTTTGTGCATACGGACATCTGACTGATAAGTAGGGATTGTGTTTTTCAGCAATACAGTGCCTCCTTAATTTACAGAGAAAAGAAGGTCAGAGAAAAATCTGTAGTTAGAAAAATCTCCATAAAATTTCTTTTTTTCTACTTGTTACTTTGCACTTTTTGTTAGAAAATGTTTATTAAAGTTTAAGGTATCTAAAATTTTGACTTAATTTCTATGATCCAAATAGTCTTAAGTATTAAAAGTTTGTTGTCATTTGAAAGTGTGTTGGCCTTCTTGCATTATTATGCTGTTATATTATGATTATATATTCAGTGGCATAAAATGACAATAATATCATTTATCGCATTTATTTCTGGGGCAATATATCGCACAACAAAAAGTTGTTATTGTGACAGGCCTAGCATTTGGCAGATGTTTTTTTTTCAATGCGACTTGCATTGCGTTCCATCTATACATTTTATCAGTTCATGCAATCTCTGGGAATCGAAAACCATGACTTTTTGCTTTTTATCTTTCCTTTATATTACTCTTCCATAGGTTTCATTTAGCATTGAGGCAAAACTTCACGGCTGCCCCAAAGAGAAGAGCTGGACCTTCATGGTGAAGCCAATAGGCTTTAAAGACACCCTTCAGGTGACTGTGGACTTTGCTTATGAATTTGACTGTCAGCAGTCCTCCGTGCCCGCCAGCCCGTCCTGTCATCACAGCAATGGTACCCTGGAGTGTGGCTTGTGCCTGTGCAATCCGGGCCGACTGGGCTCTCGATGCGAGTGCTCAGAGGCCGAATATAAACCCACCCAACAAGACAGCTGTAGCCCCGACCCAGCGGCACTGGTTTGTAGTAGGTGCGGAGACTGTGTGTGCGTCCAGTGTGCCTGTCGCTCGATTGAATTTGGGAAGGTTTGGGGGCCATACTGTGAATGTGATGACTTCAGCTGCCTCTGCTGCAAAGGACAAATATGTTCAGGTGAGGTTAGACATGTCTTGACTCAATAGCCTTGAAGAAAAAGAAAAACAGTGTTACAGTAGATGTAACATTGTGTGTTTGTGAGAATTACACACAGCTTTTTGTTCTTGCCTCATCACAGAGACAGTGTTTCACCTTATTAGGCAATTCAATCCACATTCAGAACCAAATTTACTCAGTCTGACTCAGATATGCTGGATTTGATAGATCTTCAATTTTGCATGTCTGTGTGCATTACCTGCTTAGCCTGAAGCCTGTCACATGATTCAGGTTGTTCACGTCTTAGTTTCTCTTGTTAAACAACAAGGGCTGCACGATTATGACAAAAATCATAATTGTCGATTATTCCCCTGAAATTGTCATTGCGATTATTAATTACAATTATCACAATTTACATTTGTAAGTTGTAACACTGCAAAAGTTATCAGTATAACACTGTGTTATATTACTCTGAATAGATATAGGGCTAGGTTCGACTCTTGGGAGGATAAAAATGAAATTTGGGCCAAATTTGGGTATGAAGCAGCTACACTCTTAAAAATAAAGGTGCTTCACGATGCCATAGAAGAACCTTTTTGTCTAAATGGTTCCATAAAGAGCCGTTAACATCTGAAGAATCTTTCTGTTTCACAAAAGGTTCTTTGTGGCAAAAGAAGGTTCTTCAGATTACAAAAAGGAATGAAAGAGATGGTTCTTTAAAGAACCCTTGACTGAATGGTTCTTTGTGGAACCAAAAATGGTTCTTCTATGGCATCGCTTGAAGAACCTTTTGAAGCACCTTTATTTTGAAGAGTGTAACAGCCAGCACGTGTATTGCACATATAACAAAAAAACAAATAATAGAAGAAACAAGTTAGTATTTTGTTGTATTGTCCCAAAACAACACTGCTGGAATGGGAAAAATTCTATATTTAGTCCAGGTTGTGCATAACAGGTCCTAGAAAACAAAGAAAGAGGAAAAATAAAAAATAAAATGTCCAGAAGTTGTCCTGGTTCCTTCGCAAATTGGTGTGTGTAGTGTAAAATGAATGTATGTAATGCATAAGAGACTTCTTTCAAAAACATTCAATAATCTTAACCACCACCAAACTGTTGAATGGCAGTGAATGTTTACTTACCCTCATTTTGTGCCAAATCTGTCCCTCCTCTGACTGTCAGCTCTCAAATTAAATTTTCTACAATGCATATTCAAAGGTTAACAGTGAACTTACATTTTGGTCACGCAAAGCTATTATATGAATTGAGAAGATGTGGGATATAGAATAATGGATATAGAATTGTATTTATTTTTTAGTTTTGTATCTGTGGTCAATATAAATAGTTGTATCGCAAGAGCTGAGCTGTGTGATGCTTCTTCAAAAATTCTCCTCCTATGTTCCATTGAAAAATGTACAGCATGCATACATTTTTCAAATGTTCATTTTGGCTGAACTTCATGATCACCATATTTTCCCATAGGTCATTAACAGCCATGTTTGTTGTCTCTGTTAGGCAATGGTGAGTGCAACTGTGGGACCTGTCACTGTAGCCCTGGATGGTCCGGCGAGAGCTGGGACTGTTCGACCCACTACATGGGAAGTGGAGGAATGCTGTGTAGTGGGCGTGGCCACTGTCTGTGTGGCGTCTGTGAGTGCACACAGCCAGGAGCCTATGGATCAACCTGTGAGAAGTGCCCCACCTGCCCACATGCCTGCACCATTAAAAAGTGAGTGCGTGCGTCTGCAGGTTTTTCTGTATTGGTGAGAATGAAAGTTCAGATATAAAAAAAACTGCAGAACCTGAAAAGCAAAAATATTTTTTATAAAGAAATTAAATAATGTCATGATTCACTTTTAATAATTTTCAGTTATATTGAAAAATTGTGTTTTTGACATATATAGACTATATAGACAAGTATGTTTAGGTGCTTTTTTATATCTATCTGTTTAAAGGGGATTTATGTGTGTTTCTGCAGGGAGTGTGTGGAGTGTAAACATTATAAGAGAGGGGATCTGTATGAGAAGAACTGCAATCATATCTGCGGAGATGAGATTGCGCTGGTAGATGAGCTGGGTAATCTCTACCTCCAACCAATCCATAATACATATCTCCCATCTGCAGTAGCCTATATAAATCTCTTTTAGGGTATACAGTACCATTTAAATCATTGGGATGGTAATTTTTTTTAAATAATGTTTTAAAAAAATATATACATATACAGCATCTATATACAGTAAAACAGTAATACTGTGAACATACTCCTATTTGAATATATTTTCAAATGTAATTTATTCCTGTGATGGCAAAGCTGAATTTTCAGAGCATAATTTCTCCAGTCTTCAGTGTCACATGATCCTTCAGAAGTCATTCTAATATGCTGATTTGATGCTCAAGAAACATTTCTTATTATTGTCACTGTTGAAAACAGTTGAGATGAAATGTTTTCAGGATTATTTGACTAATAGGAAGTGCAAAAGAACATTTATTTGAAATAGAACCTTTTGTAAAATTTTAAATGTCTTTACTGTCACTATTAATCAATTGAATGCATCCTTGCTTAATAAAAGTTTTTTTTTAAATATAAATCTTTGCATAAAAAATAATTCTAGCCCCACACTTTTGAATGGAAGTGTATATTTCTAATCTACACAATCTGTACATTTTAAGAATAATACATCTCCATGCCATAGGCCTCAGACAGCTTAAATCTAATCTACAGTATATAATTGCAGTATATCCATTATTTACCACAGGTTCATTTATTTATGACTATATGTGACTATAGTTCTTCATGCAGTATATTATGTTCAGTTGTTGCTGAGTTAATTATCATCTGTTCTCTTCAGTCTTTCATGAGAAGAACGCCGTGAACTGCAGCTACAAGGAAGAGGATGACTGCATTCAGAACTTCCAGTATTATGAAGATGCCAGTGGAAAATCCTTCTATCTTGTTAAAGAACCAGGTGAGAGGAATGATAGGGCAGAGAGAGACAACATGTGACATGTAGTTGTCAAACTTAGCTCATGCTGATAAACTCTGTGTGTCTTTGTGAGAGATGGGTAGATTCTGGTGTTCTTCTTTTATAATTACTGGACAGAATAATACAGGTGCATCTCAATAAATTAGAATGTAGTGGAAAAGTTCATTTATTTCAGTAATTCAACTCAAATTGTGAAACTTGTGTATTAAATAAATTCAATGCACACAGACTGAAGTAGTTTAAGTCTTTGGTTCTTTTAATTGTGATGATTTTGGCTCACATTTAACAAAAACCCACAATTTGAGTTGAATTACTGAAATAAATGAACTTTTCCACGACATTCTAATTTATTGAGATGCACCTGTAGATACTGAAAAGACCAATTGAAATGGAAACTGAATATACAATAAGAACTTTTCTTTAAGAATGAATCTTTGGTCATGGCTGATTTATGTTCAGAGTGTCCTAAGGGTCCTGATGTCTTGGTGGCCACTCTTTCGGTCGCTGGCGCGATCCTGCTGCTGGGACTGACTGCACTCCTGGTGTGGAAGCTTCTGATCACCATTCACGACCATCATGAATTTGCCAAGTTTGAGGAGGAGAAAGCCAGGGCTAAATGGGAAGCAGTAAGACTGTATTAGGATGGTGCTAAACCAACCACATCCTGTCAAGTGTTATTAGCATTTGTTGTAGGTTAGTCTTACTTCCTCTCAAACGGTCTAACATGCACAGTCTAGCCATTTTGATCTCAGACATCAAGTGGTCAAAGTGGGAATTACAGATGTGCAGGTGCTCTCATTATTAATAATACATATTTGCAGCACTGGTTATTAATGAAAATCTCTCTCATCTTTTAGGCTAATAATCCACTCTACAAAGGAGCCACCAGCACCTTCCAAAATGTAGCATATCGTGGCAGTTAAGAATGACACCACCTTTGCCTCTACTGATCATCTCAACAACACACATCTCAGCCAATCACAGCTGGGTTCACTCAGGCATGGGACTATCTAGAATTGTGGTGACTAATGCAGAATATACCAAAATATTTTTAGACATAGTATTAGATAATTAAAACACGCTACCGTTCAAAAGTTTGGGGTCAGTATTATTTTTTTTATACTATATACTTTATACTCTACTATATACAGCAATGATGTGTTAAAAATTGTTATAATGGTACAGAAGTAAAATGTTTACAATTCAAATACATGCTGTTCGTTTAAAATTTCTATTCATCAAATAATCCTGTAAAAAGACTGTCATGGTTTCCACAAAAACATTAAGCACCAGAAACATTTCAACATCAGAGTAATAATAAATATTTATTGAGCAGCAAATCAGCCTATTAGAATGATTTCTGAAGGATCATGTAACAATAAAGACTGGAGTAATGACTGCTGAAATTAAATATTTAAATTAATTACAAATGACAAAACTTTACTTTTTTTTTTTTGAACAAATGCAGCCTATAAGAGACTTTCAAAAAAAAAAACTTTCTGACCCAAAACTTTTGAATGGCAATGTATATTTTGGCCAATTAAACTTATTTTACCTGTTATTTCTCCATTGTTGTAATGTAAATATTGTAATAATAAGAATATTCTTTAATCTTATAAGATGAAAAATGCAGAACAGTATTAATAGGAGTGGCAATTATAGTTACAGTGTGAAAATGTTCAGTGAGACCTCAGTTACAATTTTTAATAACGCAAAAATCTTTTTTTCCCCACTTATAGCACAGTTATTTTTCTACATTTTCCTGATGATATAACTATTTAATAACAACAACAATAAATGTTCTTTTAAATGTTTTACATAAACAGTTGTTTTATTTTATTCATTATGAATCTTTAAATGACTTTAAAACTGTTCCATTCTTACTGTACATTCCTGCACTAATTACTTTTGAGTAGCACTGCTGGTGTTCATTTGCTGTATATTAAAGTATTTTTTAAACTTGCATTCTCATGTTATCATTTTATTTTTAAGGTGATGTGTATAACTTTTTCCAGTGTTAAAATACTTTCTTGTATCCCTTCATTAATATATAGAGACAAAAAATGTCATGTCACTCACTGTGGCTATTAAAACATTCCTCTGTTAGCCAAACAGAGGAATGTTTTAATAGCCACAGTGAGTGACATGACATTTTTTAAGTATCCCAAACAAAGCCAGGGGCGTTACTGTCTCTTTGGATAGCGTGTGATTGGTTACAGCTGTGTGCAATCAGTGCAATGGATCATGGGAAATGTAGTCCGGGATGACGGCTTCCAGACGCTCCTAAAACCAATAAAATCCAGGAGGGTGGGGGAGCGGAGGCGGAACAGGGGGAGGGATGGAGGGCCAAGTCCACGTGGAAGTGGAGAGACCGAGAACTGAGGCAGAGCCGGCAGAGCAGAGCACCAAGGCAGAACCGGCGAAGCAGGAAGCCAGGGCGGAGCAGAGAACCAGGGTGGAGCCGGCGAAGCAGGGAGTCAGAGTGGGGCCGGCAGAGCAGGTGGAGCTGAGGACCACCACAGCTGAGCAGATGGGTCTGAAGATTCCCACGGCAGAGCAGAAGACCACCAGAGCAGGACAGAAGACCACCACGAAGGAGCAGAAGACCACCAGACCGAAGCAGACAGAGCAGAAGACCACCATGGAGGAGCAGAAGACCACCAGGCCGGAGCAGACGGGTCAGGAGACCATGGGAGAGACTGAGACCTAGGGAAAGCAGAGGAGGACAACACAGACAGAGTACTCACGGCCCCCAGGGTTGGAACAGGAAATACAGTGGACTTATTTACAATGGCCTTGGGAATGACTGATAGGGCTAAAAGTTCAGTGTTGGTCTCCTTGAGAGTGACTGGATAGACAGACAGTTCAGTATTAAATGCATTGGCTGGAATAGGACTGGCAGATAGCTCAAAATCAAGGGCATTGACAGAGGCTGAAGCAGACAGTTCAGTGACAGAAACTTGCAAGATAGACAGTTCAAAATCAGACTCATTGACAGACAGCTCAAAGTCAGATTCAACAGCTACATTTAGACCAACAGATTGTTCAGGTTTTGATTCCTTGGCTGAAACTGGTAAGACAGTTGATTCTGAACTAGACACACTTTGGAACACTGAACAGACAGACAATTCCTCACTAGGATCACTAACTGACATTGGCAAAACAGATGATTCAGGATTGAGTGCATAGACATAGAGTGAACTAACGGGCAACTCAAAATCACATGTGTTAGTAGAAACTGTACAAACTGAAGGTTCAGAGTCATTGGGGAAAACTGGATCGGTAGACAATTCATAACTGGACTCATTAACTGGAACTGGTGGAGCAGATTCATTGACTGAAACTGAACAGGCAGACAGTTCATAAATGGTCTCTATGGCAGTGACAGGGTTAACGAGACAGACATGGAGTGCATTTATATTTTCTGGGCTCATAACTGGACAAATGGGGCAGATAACAGGTTCCTTGATTGGAACTGGACAGACAGGGAAATCAAACAAACTCTGGGATACTGGACAATTTGACAGTTCAGCAGACACATTTGGGGAAACAGAACAGTCAGGAAATTTACAGACAGCATCCCTAGCTGTGACAGACAGGGCTGAGAGTTCATAGGCAGCCTCTGGCTGGGCAGGCAGGGGATTAACTAACGGCCTCCATAGCTGTTACAGGACAGGAAGTGAGTTCACAGACGGCCTCCATAGCCGTTACAGAACAGGCAGAGTGTTCATAGGTGGCCTCCTTGGTTGGAACAGGACAGACAGAGAGTTCACATACGGCCTCCATAGCGTTACAGGACAGGAAGTGAGTTCACAGACGGCCTCCATAGCCATTACAGGACAAGTGTATTGCTGGGTGCCACCACCATAGCAGGAGCCGAAGCGAGCGCCGCCACCTCGGAGGGTTCTGCAGCCTCAGCCGCCACCTCTGGAGGACCTGGAGCGAGCACAGCCATCTCTGGAAGTTCTGTGGTAGTGTATACAGCCCAAACACACCAAAAAGCGATCCCCATCATGGGAAGCGCTTCAGACAGGGGAATACGTTCAGGAACAGGAGGGCTAGAGTGAGTGGATTTGGGGAGACCAGCTGCGCGTGCAGACACCAGCAGTGCATCCCTCACACTGACCTTGATAGTCTGGGTGAAACAGACAGGACGTGACAAGACTCTGGATGATCAGCTGTGATGTGACGAGATTCTGGAAGATCAGCAGTGACGTGACGTGACTCTGGACGAACTGCTGAGACATGACAAGACTGGATGAACAGTTAAAATGTGGCGAGACTCTAGATGATTAGCTGAGATGTGACGAGGCTCTAGAAGATCAGCTGAGACGTGACGAGACTCTGGAAGAACAGCTGAGACGTGACGAGACTCTGGAAGAACAGCTGAGACGTGGCGAGACTCTGGCAGATCAGCTGAGACGTGGCGAGACTCTGGCAGATCAGCTGAGACGTGACGAGACCCTGGAAGATCAGTTGAGACGTGACTGGACTCATGAAGATCAACTGTGACTTGACTTGACTCAGGGATGGCAGCTGTGACATGACGGGGCATTGTCGTCGCTGCCATTTTGCGAACAGATTCCACTGTCACCGCCATTTTGTGAATGCGCTCCGGTGCACCTGGCCCAAGGAAGGTATCCAGTGGCGGATGAAGGTCTCTTGCGTGTTCGGTCTTTTCAGCGCGCAGAGTTATTCAATTTAGGTCTCAGGAGATCAAAGTATTCTAGTTTCTTTTATCCTTACAGTCTAGACTGCGTCACGCCGGATCTGTTTCTTACATTGTTGTGATTTGATCTGAACGAAGCGTATCTGGCGTGACGCAGCTGACACAGAACAGCATACGCTGTTTACGTCCAGCTGATACTCTCCAAAATGGCGCTACAGGGTGACACGGAGGAGACGAATTGTTGAATAAAGTCCTTTTCTTTCTTTCTTTTGCGCACAAAAAGTATTCTCGTAGCTTCGTAAAATTACGGTTGAACCCCTGATGTCACATGGATTATTTTACCAATCTCCTTGCTACGTCTCTGGACTTGGGAACATTTCAGTTGTATTGCTGTCTATGCAGGGTCAGACAGCTCTCAGATTCCATCAAAAATATCTTAATTTGTTTTTCCGAAGATGAACGAAGGTTTTACGGGTTTTAAACGACACGAGGGTGAGTAATTAATGACAGAATTTTCATTTTTGGGTGAACTATCCCTTTAAAGATCTAATTTGGTAACCTGTCTCTGTAGTAGTGTCACTCTAGAAATGTGATACTTCACTTTATCTTACAACTGTCATCTTGTAAAAATAATTGTAATATATTCCAGATTTTAAGATGGCCAAAATGTTGTTCAGTTTGTTTTTCCTGTTTGTCAGGTTTAGGTACAGTGTGTTGTGTTTAAATACTTTTAAATGATCATAAGGAGTGTGAAAAAAATAAACCCATCTGCAACAACATTTTTAGAGAATGGGAATGATTTAGCTACTTACTGTTCTCTGTCTACAATGTGAAAAGAACGAAGCAGAGGGACGTACCACTGACTCAATTCCTGCAAAGCAGATAATGTCTTTTCCAATGACAGTTTTCAAATCCATTTCCTTGAGTCATGATGAAACAGGTATGTAAAATTCTGGAATGCATACAGCTCATAAGATTTCACTTCTCTCTGTAGAAACAGCGACAGATTCTACTTCCAGTTTGTTTATCTGTCTAACACTTCCCATATGATTGAGCGACAGTAAAGATTGTCTGTCAATCCATCTGACCTGTGCCTGGATCTTTCAGGAGGTAATAAACACAGTTTCATCCACATTCACAAATAAACACACCTGTAAGTGACTCACAGGAAATACACTTGTGTAAGACCCTGCTGTGGTTGGACATCAAATTCGCTTTAGACTTAATGTTATTAATAAGCTTTTTTGTGTGTGTTTGTGTCTGTCAGACCTTAAGCCCACCTGCCTCTGACTAGCAAACGCAAATTGTGGTTCACAGCTGTGATATATGCTGAAGGCTTCAGGAGGAAGTTAGATTTGGTTTCCCATGCCTAGGTTAGCATGAAGGAAGTACTGAAGCTGAGTCATAAATGTCTTGTCTTGGGTGTGTCATAATGGAATGCAATCTTAGAAATAGATCAAATCATATACAATTCTAAGCATTAGTCTCAAATGTTACATATATTTTCTAGCCTAATTTGGTAATGCTATTACAAAATATCTGCACTCTCTGCATTTATTATTAGAGTAAGCAATTATTAGAGTCATTATTACATGTAACTGTTACATGTGGTTTTCTGTGTTGATTTTTCTTTGACTTAGTTTGCCTTGTTGTCTTGATTATGTCATTCTGTTCACCTGTGTTCCATTTATTAAGTTATTAGTCCCTCGCTTTTGTATTTATACTCCCTGTTCTTTTCAGTCCTTTACAGGTTATTGTTTGTTGTACTTCACCTGTTCCTGGATTCCGAGGGTTGTTTTCCTTGTGGATTTATTATTAAAGGACTATATGTGGAATATTTTCCATGCGTTTACTACAGCCAGCACGTAACAGTAACAACCATGTAGCCTAAATAATAATGAAGTGTGAATTTTAAACTACTCTTTGATATTAATTATAAAGTGTCTCTTTGGAGTTTACAGTTTGCTTAAGAAATAATTTTGCATGATAAACTTGTTTGTTTTACTTGTCATGAAAGTGGTCTACATATAGAAAATATATACAGTTTTATATTCAACTTATATTCCTTCACTTCAATACAAATTCACTTCATCTGCTTTTGTATTCAAGAGTTTTTAAAACGAAATAACAATTTTGTTACTTGAAATAAAATAAACATGAACTGAAATAAAACAAAATATATGAAAATGTAAACTTATTTTAACTGGTTGCCAAGGCAAAATTTCTAATTTTCATTTAGTTTAACTTGAAGCACTAAAATGCTTAACATCTATAATTCCTGTTTGTCCAAAATTTAAAATGTTACAGCCAATAGGCTACTTAAATTTCAGTCTGCTCCTCACACAAAGCTCATGAGTCACATACTTCATTTTTATTGTGCTATATTGTTCTGTTTTAAGTTTTAAGTGTCATCATATAACAAAGCATCTGCGTGAAAATTCTCCTAAACATCACCTTTTGTGGTAGAAGAAAGGAAGTCATACAGTTTTGAAACAACACGATGGTGAGTAAAAGATGATAAAATTTTCATTTTGGGGGAACTATACATTTAATCAGTGTTGGGGAAAGTTACTTTTAAAAGTAATGCATTACAATATTGCGTTATTCCATAAAAAAGTAACTAATTACGTTACTTAGTTACGTTTTTTGGAAAGTAATGCGTTACATTACTTTTGCGTTTCTTTTTAAATCTTGAAAGGGCTTGCTTGTTTGTTTTTAAAATAAAAAAGTGTCACGGCGCGGTCAGGAAAGACACTGTGTGAACGAGGGTTTTGGGTCCAAGTGCAGGCTTTATTCACTGCCAGGGAAAACAAAGGTAACAAACAGAAACATAAACAGAGCTAAGACTCTGAGACACGCTAGAAACACGCAAATGGGCACTGATGCAAAACGGCCACCTCTGGCTTGCATCAGTCCCGGAACAGACACTAGAAACACTCGTACCCCTCGTGACTACAAACAAACAGTATAATGCTCGTAACACGCATCAACCAAACATTATACCAACATTAATCATCCGCCCCGAGTGGCGTGGGGAAGGCGCCTAAATAGTCCTCGTGACGGGCCACAGCTGTGTGAGAGTGAGTGTGTGCACAGGTGTGTGGAGTGCAGGTGATGGAGTCCCGGATGGGCGACAGCTGTGTGTGTGTGTGTGAGTGGGTGCCCAGGTGTGTGGTGTCAAGGTGGCGGAGAAAGAGTCCGGGAGGATGGGAGATGGCGACCTCTGGTGGTGAGAGGGAGAACACCAGACGCCAGCCCCTGACAAAAAGTTATATTTTTGGCAAATATAAAAGCCTTTTCACACCAAAAGTTAAATGAATAAGCCGCAGGCTGAAGGGAAAGTAAATTTATGTCCACACAGTAGAAGAAGAAATTTCAACACACTTCAGCAATAAAAAAAGTCACACAAATGTTTGTCTAGAGTAATTTTTGCTTATGAACTGGATCATCGAAGGTCAGAAGCAAAGAAATTGGTTAATAGAATGGGATTAAATACATAAAAGATATTTGTGTTGTTTAACATTTAATTATTGCAGGTTTGCGTCATATTCTGAGTTGCACTTTTTTTAAATTCATTTTGAGGAATACTGAATCTGTGTTTTATTTGTGTGTGAGTGAGATGAGTTAATGCATATTCATATTTATTTTAGAACTACTGTAACATCTTCTGATTTCTCTCAACATGGGGACAGGAGAGCTGTCAATCAATAAAAAAAAAAAAAAGTAACTTGCGTTACTTATTTGAAAAAGTAACTCAGATATTCTCTTGTAAATTAAAAAGTAATGTGTTACTTTACTAGTTACTTGAAAAAAGTTATTTGATTACGTAACTCGCGTTACTTGTAATGCGTTACCCCCAACACTGCATTTAATGTTGCAACACTGATAAAACAATCAGAATGTGCCATCTTCTTTAAAACATGGTTGTCAGCAGGAAATGTTTGTTATTATCAGATCTGCACATAAAATGTGAAAGATGTGTACAGATTCTGTGTTAACATACTATGGCTGCACCAGAGGAGTTAAGATCCTCTGTCTAGATCAGGGGTGCCCAAACTCGGTCCTGGAGGGCCGGTGTCCTGCAGAGTTTAGCTCCAACTTGACTCAACACACCTGCTACAAAGTTTCTATTATGTCTCGTAAGAGCTTGATTAGCTGGTTCAGGTGTGTTTAATTGGGGTTGGAGCTAAACTCTGCAGGACACCGGCCCTCCAGGACCGAGCTTGGGCAGCCCTGGTCTAGATCCTCAAGATTGTCACGCCCCTGGCTCTTTGTGTTGTGTTTTCCCTCCCCAGGTGTGCTGTGTTCCCTTTAATTAGTCATTCCTTGCACCTGTGTTTTCCCAATCACCCAGTGTTTAAAAGCCCCAGTCCTTTCAGTTAGTGTTTGTCGGTCCTCAAACGTCATTCCTTGTGTTCCAGTGTCTCCTATGTTCCCCGTGTGATCATTAAAGACTGTGAATTGAAGTTATCTCCATGTTTCCTCGTTCCTCGCTCCTTGCCTCCTGAGAAGTGTGACAGAAGGACCGACCAAACAGTAACTTCCGTGTTTTCCCCTCCGTTTGTTTTCCGTTTTTTTCTCAGTGTTTTTCTTTCCATTGTGTCCCCATGGATCCCTTCACCCGCCCTGAATTCCTCCTCCTCCTGCAGGAGCAGGGAGACAAAGCTCTCGAGGACCATACCAAACTGTTCCTATTGGTCGCGAACATCACCAGCTATCCGGACGATGAGCTCTGCTCTTTCTATGACGCAAGCCTGAACGCAGAGTGCAAAGCGTTGTTGTCCAAAGATGGTCCTCGGGAGGAATTCGCCGCCTTCGTGTAGTGGACTCTGGCGAGAAACGGGTCGCCACTCACCATCTGCCCCGTGGAGGATCTCGCCGGATCCACTCCGGACCCAGAGCCCAGCCCACCATCTCCCCGCGGTACAGAGCATCAGCCTGAGCCCACCGATGATGGAGAGCCATTTCCTGCCGCGATCCGCGAGCCAGAGCAAAGCCAAGCGACTGAGTAGAGGATCGCCTCGGAAGTTGATCCCAACCCGTCAGACCAGGTGCGAGAGTGGCGTGCCCACCACGAGGGAGCAAGCCGTGGATGGTGTGAGCGTAGAGAGCTCCGCCCCCTGCATCACGGCTGAGGGTGAGCTGACTATGGTGGGACATAAGTGCCAAAACGAAGAGGGGAGGGATCCAGCCCCGGCGTCGACCCGCCATCGCCTCTGGACTCCACTCCTCTGGCTGCGCCTCGTCGCTCTGTCCCACCGGCTCCGTTGGGCTCCTTCCTCCCGCC